ATTCTCTTTTTCGCAAGGTGAGAGGTCTAACTATATTAATTTTTTCGATTTTCAGATTTTCACTAGACATAACCTCATTCTAATCTCGGCCTCACCAAGGAAAATTAGCAATTAAAGTTCAATTAATCAAGGTGAATCCCTACCTACAATGCAATCCTCGAAAATATCAAATTCCTAGAAAGTGACTGCTCTTACCCCATTTGGGGCATAAGAACAGTGCCAAAGATGGCTCATACAAAGATTCCCTAAACTTAACAAATTAATCCCCTAGTTCCCTAAACATCAAGACTATTTCAGAATTATTCACGGGTGAGGAAATAGGCCATTTGGCTATGGAGCTCAATTGATTGGGTAAAGAACAAAATAGTCAAGCTCAAAGTGGCTTCTCCTAAAGGACGTTTCAGGTAAAGTGGATGATTTGTGAAACGATTCAATGGGTGACTAATGCCTTCATCCTTTCAACAACTAGATTACCATGAAAACGATTTAAGCCTAAACACTTCAAAGATGTTCTAAAAGCATAGTCAAGACGCTAGCCAACTCACAAAGACACGGTTTAAAGAAAAAATTTCAAAATTTTGACATGAAATTTCTATGAATATACAACTAACACCTGCACATGCTAACTCTAAAAATCCCATGTGACAGCTACTGCCCGAATGCCCAATTCAATCCCCCACACTTAAACTTTGGCATCGCCCTCGATGGCCAAAAATGCACTATGCACAAGGGGGTAAAGGGAAAGGGTCACACGTGCTCAAAATCTCAACTCAAGTTACGCAATACAAACAAGTGAGTAAAAGTAATAGAACTTCCCTAAGGCGTTAGTCGGTGCAGAACTAAACTGAGTCAAATGATCCTCGGCACATCATCCCCAAAGCAAGACCCTGAGCTGCAAAATAAACACAAAAACAAACAAAAACAAAGAAACATGCTAAAACAAAAGTGCAGAAATAAGCTTGGGTTGCCTCCCAAGAAGCGCTAATTTTAACGTCGTGTGCCTGACGCAACCACCTCATTAAAAACTCAGTCAAAAACACTCCCGCTCAGAAAATTAGTCTTCCACAAATCAAACCTCCTATCAACAAATGCCTTGAGATGGCTTAAGACCTTAAATTCATGAAAATAATTGCGCATCTCAGGGTCACTCCTAAAGCACAAGAATGAGACTAAGCCTTTATCAGACCCTTTATCAACGAACGAGTCAAAATGAGTCTCTTTAAGAGGTGGGGGTTTCCTCTCCTCCTCTTCGGTTGGATCAATGACATCCAACAAGAAACACTCATTAACATCTTGGGGCAAGAATTAAGGGCACATCAAGATCTTGGGGCATATCCAAAACAACAAAATCAACGGGAATAACAAACTTGTCCACTTTAACCAACACGTCTTCGGCGATCCCCTGGGGATATTTGACTGATCGATCAGCCAGTTGTATGCACATACGTGTTGGTTTAAGTGAACCGAGTGCAAGCTTCTCATACAAGGTATAGGGCATCAAGTTGATGCTTGCACCCAAATCAGCTAAAGCATTATAAAAAATCTCACTTCCTATGGAGCAAGGGATAGTGAACTTACCTGGGTCCTTGAGCTTTTTAGGCATCTCCTTTAGCACCACTGCCGAACACTCTTCATTCAGCACCACCGATTTCGGTTCACCCCACTTTCTTTTGTTAGAGATGAGTTTTTTTATAAACTTTGCGTACCTCGGCATTTGTTGCAGCGCCTCCATGAATGGTACGTTTACTTGAACCTGTTTAAAGAGGTTCAAAAACTTGTTGAAGTCCTCAGTGTCACTTTTCCCCTTTAAGCGTTGCGGGTATGGGGGTGGGTGGGTTGTAAGCTTTGACTGGAACGGATTGCTTTGGGACTGCGTCCCCCTCCTCCTTCTTTTCTTCTTCCTTCTTCTCCTCAAGAACAACTGCAGCAGGTTCAACGTCTTCAACTTTCTTCTTCATGGCAGCAGGTTCCAGATCCCGTCCACTCCTCAGTGTGATTGTGTGAACTTGCTCTCTTGGATTTAGTTTGATGTTGCGCGGGAGGGATCCCATAGGCCTTTCAGATACGGCCTTTGTGAGCTGCCCCAACTGAATTTGCATGTCACGAATACTTGAATGTGTTGATTGATCTCTAGCTGCAGTCACTTGAATGAATTGCTCTAGTGTCTTCTTCAAGCTAGAAAGTTTATGCTCAGTCTCATTCCTTTGTGGCTGAAGTGTTTTCTTGTGGTTGAGATTGGGGCTGATCATCAGTTAACCCATGTATCTTGAAAGTCTGGCACATCCTCAGGAATCGGGTAATGTGTGCAATAGGGTCTTCAGTAGGTCCTCCTCCAAATTGGTTGTTTGAGATCATGCTAATCACTGCCGGATTGATCTCGTAGCGATTCACAGTGATACCTGGCACTTGGCTCCATGATTTTTTTATATAACCTGAAAGGTTAGAAAAGAAAAATCCTACGAAAAACTAAATAAAACTAACTAAAAAAATCTCATTGAGATTAATTAACCCTTAAACCCGACACCGTCCCTGGCAACGGCGCCAAAAACTGATGTGAGTTTTCTCGCACTTAAAATAGATTGTAGTAAAGGGTGTAAGTACGAGTATCGTCTCCACAGGGACAGACAAAAGAGAATTAAGAATTAATTAAATTCAGAGATTAAAAAGAAATAAAATAAAATAAATTGTGTGAGATTTGATTGATTGGAAAAGTAACTTGCAATTAAACGAAAACTAAAACGGAGGGGTTCTTTCTAATTAACGACGAAGGGAATAGGGATTGATTCCGGGGTAACCAGATTTCTGGCAGATCAGGTCTAATTACATGAAATTAATTTAATTGAGCCTATCTAGTCATTACTAAGTTCTACCGTTCTCGCGGCGTAGAGTACAATAATTTAGGGGACCCGGCTGATCTCTCATGCGACAGGATCTTAAATTATTGCCAAGACGAGTGAACTTACGGCCCTTTAATCGCTACTAATTTCTTAGCGAGCGATTCAGTGTGTGTGAATGTGTCCTAGAATTAATTAGATCTCTCTTAACTTATTGTACAAGCAATTGTAATTCTAGCGCGCGTTCTAGGTTACAGGAAATATTAGTTAAATTATTCAAACACAAATTAAATGGCATTCATGCAATTAATCCATCAAGAATCTAGCCATACATCATGATTAACCCCTTCATCAATCCCAAATCCCTAATTAAACTACTCACAATTCATAATTGAAGAATCAACAGAATTGGGCTGAATAGAATTAATTGTCATTAATTAAAAAGATGGAACTTACAAAGAATCCCAAAAGATTGATGAACAAGGCTGAAAAGCTCTCTAAATTTCGTGCTAGGCACTCTCTCTAAGCCCCCCCCTCCAAATAGGGTTAGGAAGGCCTTATTTATAGAAAAAGGGAAGAAATTCGAGTTCTGATTGAACTAGGACAAGGTTTTTCACCGTTTCTCTAGTCCTGTTTTTCACCGTTTCTCTAGTCCTAATTTTACAAAACTTCCTTCATGAAAGTTGTAGATAATGAAGTCCGCTATCCACCACATTTTGCCGAATTGGATTTGAATTATCCAATAAAGAGAAATGAATAAAATGGTGGAAGATCTCATTCTGAAATCGCAACAGGTATCATCTGACTTCATCGTCTGTTTTCACCTTCTTCCTCTCCTATTCTCACAATGATATTTTCATATGTTTGTATCCCTTGAAGTTGTATTTCATATGCAACTTGAATCGTGTCTTTTGGATGCATCTACGAAGAGATATGCTTGAACGATTGACATAAGGTCATTCTGAACGTCGTTTTCAAACTCTATTTGTCTTCTTTTGATCCCGTAGCCAATCCTAGAGCTCTTTTGTCATCAAATCTTCATTGTGAACCTCCCGGTGTCCTCCAAAGCTCTCATTTCACTCTCGAATGCTTCTCAAATCACCCCGTTTTGCTTCTCAAGCGCCGGTGCTGGGCTCAAATTCCCTGATTTTGACTCCAGAAGACATAAAACTCGAACCAACGCCTGGTAGCATAACTTGAGCTAAAATTGAGACTTGTAACACCTTAAATCTAGGAAAACCATCACAAGTCGATCCCAACACGCATCAAATGCGTGTCTAAATACAGATTTATCAGTAATCTATTAATATATGAGTAGCTTGCCTCAAGACTCCAGAACAGTACATTTTACTATATTAGTGTCGTAATTTATGTATGTGTAATAAATATATACTCCGTACGTAGTATTAATTATTCAATATTCATATTATTTTTAAATGATTTTGTAGGGAATTCCAGTTTTGAGAATCCATTAATGCCATGTTGTATAGGGGAGAGATGTGGAATTCCTTGTGAGAGCGTAAAAGATTATAAAGTGTGCGATGATCCAAAGAAGTCATTCTTCTGGGACGGTGCACATCCAACCCAAGAAGGCTGGTCTGCCGTTTATTCTGCTTTGAAGCCCTCTCTGGATACCCTCCTCCTCCCTCCAGACCATATTTCTACTCTTAAAGTAGAAGATCAGAGCGAGGGATTTTTTTTTTTTTGCATTCAATAAGATGTTCCAATCAAAATTAGCTCCATAATACAGATTGGAAACATATGAATATGTCTAAATAAACCTCTTCCACCATGAGCTGCTCTATATGTGTTTGTTCATTACAATCTATGTTGCACGAACACGTGAAAATCATACCATTTTGCTACCAAAAATACACTATGCCATTCCCAAATCAGTGTGCTAGTTAGGACTTAGCAGTTTGTGACATCTAACTGGTGATAAAGCCCTGTCAAAAAACGGTGATAATGCTATCCCCTAATAATTAAAACTTTAAACAATTAAAACAAAAGTAATAAATGATTTATCGAGTATTAAATCACAATAGCAGAACTCAAATACAATTAAAAAATGATACACAATATTACTACTATAAAATAAAATAGAATTGCATATTTGCATATTCATCGTAAAAATGTCAATTAAGGACAGATGAAGCAAATTTTAATGTGGAGTTAGGCACTTATTAGATGCAATATATTGTGCATTTTTAACAAGTCTATGAATACTTGTATTATTTTATTATCTTTACAGGCTGCATATCCATCCGTTACAACTTACAAGCATACATGTCAAGTAAATCTAAGATGATAATACAACGTACAACCGATTAAAGCATTCGGCACCAAGCCTTTCCTACACACACATACACATAAATACATGCATGTACATGTATGTGTTAGTGATTAATATATAAATACATACTAATATACAAATACATATGTGAGCTCATACAGTTCTAATGAATAGCCATAACTGGAATGGAAAAGAGAAGGCGAGATCAGTACTACCTATACGTATGTGGTCTGATAAGATAATCTGGAGGTGAGAAGCGTGTCGAAGGAATGGTGGGTGAGAACCCACTAGGAGAGGATAATTTTGGCAATAATCCTGTGAACGAGGGTATATTGGAAAATGGATTGAACATTGGTGGCCTCCATGCTTCTGCATTTCTAGTCTCCATGAAATTGCTGCGGTAGAACACATCAGAAGAAGCTTCAGCAGGGGTACGTTTGGCCACTCTGAATAGTGGAGGAGAAGAGTAGATTATTCTCGGTGAAGTTGTTGGATTCCAGCGTAAGTCTGTTGGTAATCTAAAAAGACTGTCGCCTTGTACCTGTTGGAAGCTACTGCTGAGATTTCCTCTCAGTGAAAGTTTAGCTTGTTCAAGTGCCCCAAGGACGTTCTTGACATTTCTGTTTGCCTCGTTTGAAACCAAAGCAAGCTCATATTTTCCTTCGGAAATGTTGTCAGGATTTCGTGAATTAGAAGAGGATGAAGCGTGTTGTTCTAACGAGTTGTCTACCTTTAACATAGAAGGGAAAGCGAACTCCGGTGACGATGACCCGGAAGCATTTGTTTTGTTGCAGTTCATTTTGACAGGTGGTGGTGGGGATGGAGAAAAATCATCTTGAGCTTCATTTGAGTGTCTACTACGGGATGGAGAATGATCATCTTGAGCTTCATTTGAGTGTCTACTACCTACCATCTCATGTTCTATGTTCTTAGGAGATGATGGTGGCTGATTATGACATGCTGCTCTCATGTCATCTCTTTCTTCTGTCATGTCTGAATGGCTTCCCAGGTCACGTGAAGAATCCTGTAGGGAGTGAGTTTCAAATGTAATTTTTTTATCCTCTACCAGACTGCCACAATGTGTTCTCACAACAATAACCATTTTCCATGTTGGATATACTGTCCCACATTGGCTAAATATGATAAGAGAAACTAACATAGAACACATCAGCTACACTTTTAGGCTAGAACTCCTCACTGTCTTTATATGTTACATATTATCAAGACTATTGAAATCCAGCAAAAGAAGGGCATGTGAAAATATACAGGCTTCTTTCCGAGTTTAACATAATTTCCATTAAGCATTTTGAAAATTTTGAGAAGCTTAGTAAAATAAGAGTATGGTTTTCGTTTCCAATAAAAACCCAAGGTTGGCATACATAAAACGGCTAAAAGTGATTTGATGTGATCGAGATTCAATTAATTGATTTGATGTATTTGGATATATTCTCTGAAAAGTCAGTTTAGTCAAATGAATGTTGTTTTTAAATAAAAAAGATTCAATTAAAATTTTCTTAGGAATCAAGGGAAGAGTATATCATCATCCACAGCACCCTCATTCCTCACCTTGATCCCAACTGTATCCGTGTCTGTGGGATCAGCTAACTTTCTAAAATAAGTTAATGCTATAAATTCATGCATAAAAAGTATTCTTACCAGCATAAAGCTGGAATCTTCTCTGTATTTTTCTTCCCACTCTCTCTGTGCTCTCTCCTCAGCCTCATACTGACCTATAAGTTCTGCTTGGTGTTGTATAGCTTTTTGCATGGCTTTGTCACCCACATGTATGTGGCGGTTTAAACTGCTGCTATTATCTGCTTGAGTTTGACTTTTAAGTACCTGAAAAGAAGGAAATTCCAATTCACCATTTTCAGCACAGCGTTGAATGCCACCTCTTGGTGACTCAATACCAAAGTCTGTTAATCCGTTAAGATCCTGGGTGTGTGTGGTTCCCGAATCATACTTAGCAGTTTGCGCAGTAGAGTCACCATACGTCTCTTCAACAGCTGATCTAAAAAACAAGACAACTTAGCATTTATATATGTTCAAGTTTATCACATGACCCAAAAGATAAGTTAGCTATGAATTAGGGTGAAACAGTTAGCTATGAATTAGGGAGGACTATGAGATGAACTCTCAGTTTAAGACCTAAAAGCCATAAAATTAATGAATTTTTGTTGTTGCTTAGTTTATGTTAATTTTCACATAAATCCCTTAAAGCAGTTTGGCTCAAAGGAAAAGGGCACTCTGGCACAGCCTGGACCTTTGAAGTGCCTGCAGAAACTTTTCTCCAGAAATCAAATGGCCTAAAGCCCTAAATCTTGTATCTCCCCAAAAACACATTTTCTCCTTTAACATAAAGTGTGTATGCTGGCAATAAATCAAAAATCAACTAAATGTGCTGTAATTTCTCCAGCCAGGAGTGACTGTTGATCAAGAAATCATCAAATACCAAAGCGATTTTTTGCAAGTACGGAGCAAATTTCATTCATCGATTCTGGAAGCACACATATTTTCATAAAGCCCCTCCACTCTGACAGATTATGAATTAAATTTAAAACGTTTTAAAGAAAATTAAAAAACCAATTGTGTTCTTTAAGTCTTAAATTGAAGTTTCAACTATTTGGGTTATGAACCTATGTTTCAATCGATTAAACTTCTTTAGAGATTCTTGAAGGCAGCAGAACATCTCTTAAGTTAGTTACATGCAAAACACAAGAGCTTTTATTGAGAAGTAGAAACAAAAACTTTTATGCAATGTATATGCTAATGGAAAAACTATATTCCACAATTGAGAAGTAGAAACAAAAACTTTTTTGCAATATACAAAGTATATGCTAATGGAAAAACTATACTCCACAATTGAGAAGTAGAAACAAAAACTTACATTGTTTTGCCATGCCTTATCCGCCGACATGATTTACCAACAAGCTTGGATGAAGAAGCACTTGATGCAAAACTACATGACCTTCTAGAAGAGCTCATGTATTTCCTCTGAGTCAAAGAATGCAGAGATTCTCTGCCACTTCTCCAAGACAAGTTTCTACCAATATGTGGAGAGGATTCAACCTCAGAGTTTGAGTTGGTCTCCCCATTAATATCTCGGACCTCCATATTTATGTCCATTGAATACTCATCATCCTTGCACTCATCATTACAAAGGGGAAAATCAGTACCCTGATCGGAACCGGAGTCGAAATCATCTGAAGCATCATCACCGATGCTACCATGGTTCTCTAAAATAGCGAGGACATTTTCTGTGGCCTTCTCAGCTTTCTTTCTTTGAAGAATGACAGTCTTAAGCTGTTTCTCCAGCTGTGCAACCTTAATACAACCAGATCTAAGGTTAAAAAATACTTAAGCATAATAAAGAAGATGTAAAAGATATTAATGCTCCATTTGTTTACAAATAAAATTTTCTTGAAAAATATTTCTAGTTTTCTTTTCCTTTCCGGGAAAAGATTTCTGTGTTTGACACCGGAAAATATTTTCCTTAGCTACTTATCTTATGTTAGGGACTACAAAATGGTAAGGAAATGAAAAAATTAAAAGGAAAATGATTCTTACATTTTTTATTGACCTTGGAAAATATGAAGGTCACTCAAGTTTGACTATACCTTTAAAAAATTTACATATATTTAGGCTTCTTAGTCTGCTTGTATTACTACTTAGAAAAATATGAATAAAATAAGTTCAAAAATATCTAAAATTCATTAATTGAGTGTGAATGAGCACTTATATTTTTCGGTTTTACCTTGCATTTTCTTTCCTTCCAATTTTCATCTGCTTTCCTCCATATTTTCTATTGTTTCCCACGTTCCAAACAGACTCTTAGGCTTCCATGATAAGTTTTGCCAAAGTTTATTTGTTTTATTACTTTTCTATCTTTGTGGTTCAAACTGTATTATTGTATAGAAAAACTAATTTACAAGAAAAATGTTTTCTGTGAGAGAGCCTAAAGAATATCATAATTCTGCATTTCTACCAACAGAAATAAATCCTTTCTTGGAAAAGAAGAGGTAAAAGAGCATATGTGTGAAGTGTGAACTTATGAAAAAATAACAAGAGCTACCCTCTTGGTCAGTTCATCAGCTCTCTGTCTTGCTGCTCGTGAGATTGATCTTTCAGACAATAACCGTGCCCGAAGAAATTCGATCGTCATTGAAGAAGAATCTTCCATGACCGGAGTATTCCTGATCAAAATGGTTTTCATTATTTCACTATAGCAATTCAACTACCATTCAAATAGCTTAAAGATTTTGTTCAAGTGAAGTGCAGCTATGAAATGAGAAGGTAATTATTTAAATGTCATTGCATGATTCATGTAGTCTGGTAGAGCAGATTCTACAATTTAACTTTCAGAAGAAAAATTGAAACAACAGCCCATGTATTCATCTCCATGGTGCTCTTCTTTTTCAATTCGAAAGTTATCAAAAACTCCTCTGGCATTAATGTTGAATTGATGTGATGGCGCAAAACAAATTTGGTCATTTAAAATCGTGTTTTAGGTATTCCTGCCATGAATATGGGGAATAAAGCAACGTAGCCTATGATACAAGAACTGTAAAAGCTATGCAGGTTTTGTTTTCACAACTACTTTCTCTGCATTGTTTACAATTAATGCAAAGTGAATTTCGCTACTGAAGAACAACTAGATTTAGATTATTTAATTATTCATAAATAGTTTGGTTGACTTGCTTCTGCCTTTCCTCATGCCCCAGCCCACACACAAAAACAAACCAGAGTACACTTGGGAGGATAGATGTTTGATGAGATTTAAAATCTACTTTGTTATTATGGTGCCATTATATGTATAAAAATTATGGTCTAGTAATAAATAGTAGTAGTAATAAGGTGAACTCCATGTTTAGCATTACCATTGGCTTTTTTTCAGATATAGCAAAAAAACAGCATGCTTTATTTAGTAATCCGTATTTTCCATTTTAAAATCAATATATCTTATAGTGCATTTATTCATCCACTGTTTTGCTTGTTTACTTTTCAAATCGCATTATCGAAAGAACCAATTTTAAATATATCTACATTTTCTTTCTCACCATTTACACGACATTAGTTTCTTTCAATATTATTTGGGAGTAAATTCCAGCTTGTACATTACAATTACAAGACTTCAAGAACAAGTCTCAACTTTTTTTTGTTTAATGAACACCAGTCTTGTGTTAAAAAAAATCCTTTACTTGCTCAATAGGCAGTGATGTGGCTTGGCTAACTAAAGCCAACCATAGAGCTGAATCAAAGCATTGCAAGTCACCTAAAATTTCCCTAAAATCCACACCCCTAACTTATTCAGAGAAAATAAAAAAATTATAAGTTTTTGTTCTTCGTTTCTGTAGTTTTAATCCCACTGACCATATCAAATTCCAAAAGGAAAATATTATCATTGCATTTATCATCTAAAAGAATATAATAAAACAATTAAACAGGAGAAAGATGCTCAAGTAATAATAAAGGTCAAACATGAACTTATTACTCAAACTTCAAATTTATTAAAACAATATGCTCATAAATAAAAACTAAAAATTAGCCCAAATCCCTCCGAAAAGGGGGAAAACGAAAATAGAATTGGCACCAAGCCAGAGTGCGAGACAGATGACTGATTACCTCTGATTATAATCTTCATTCCCTGAAGTAGACATTTTAGAACTCAGAGCTTAACGCTCAGCTGCGAGTGAAAATAATTCCAGACATAAATCAAGTTTTCCGGTAAAAATTAAAAAAAAAACAATAGAACTACTGAACTAGAGATAATACAAACTTACAATTACAAATAAGTATGGGCACCGCCGGAAAAAAGAAATCAACGACAATAAATTAAGATTAAATCAAACTTAACTTGAACCGAAGACTATAGATGATGATCCAACAGGGAAGTCTCCTGTTTCAACTTCCATGGCCTTGCTTAGTTTGACTTTGTCCTGGAAACCCCATAAGAGTTGGACTTTGGGGTGTACGGCTATACACACTTGCTTAGTTTATGTTTATACAGACATATATACACACTTGCTCAGACATAACGTATTTTAAAAATACGTTATATCTATACAGACATGTGTAAAAGGTGTGTACACAAAAAAGTGTGTATCTTTAGATTTTTTCATCCCATAATGCAGGGGTTAGGATATGAGAGTTGAGACAAGCCAATTGTTAGCTTTGGGCTATAATTCGATTTTGTAGAAGGCAAATTCTATTGACCTTTATGGCTTTCTTCCTAGGTGAAAAAGGGAAATTCCATTTTGTAGAAGGCAAATTTTATTGACCTTCTCAATGTCAACATTACCCCCCCTCCCCCCCCCCCCCCCCCATCACCGAGTAATTCTCATTTACAAATAGTCCATTTGATCACTCTCATACTCATTGAACCCATTGAATCTTGAATCGGTTATAGAATTGATAAATGCTAGTAAAATGTCTGATTAAACTATCAAATAAGCTCTCGAACTTATATAAAAAGCGCAAATTAGCCCTTTTAAAGGTGGCTCTGCATGGCCGTTGCCATTTGGGTGGTTCCCGGTGACATTTTTTGATGAATTTTTTTGATCATCTTATTCATTAAGTTTAGTTTACTCCTACCAAATTTCAACTAAAAATTCAATCTGGAAAATACTCAAATGATTTTTTGAAGATAACTGTGCAGTTAGACAACGCAGTATGTTTCAGAAAATCATTTGACTGCCTTCTCGGTTGAATTTTTAGCTGAAATTTGATATGGGTAAACTAAACTTAATGAAGAAAATGTTCAAAATATTTCATCAAAAAATTTCATCGGAAACCACCCCAAAATGGTGACGACCGGACAGAGCCTCCTATAAAAGACTTATTTGCACTTTTTATGTAAGTTCGAGGGCTTATTTGATAGTTCTCCCAATTTTTTTAGTTTAATCTGATATAGTTTGTTCTAATCTCGTCTTGTCGGATCTGAACTTGTAGATGTCTCATCTCTGTACATATGTATTTTAAAACTGCATATGTCTAGTTTGATCTTGTCGGATCTATTAAAATCTGATTTGGTCTGATTTGGTATGTTCCGTTTAAGTTTGGTCTAATCTGATATGAGATTGAAGTAAATCCAAGTAAAAGCATTCGTAAAGAGATTGAATTAATTGGACCTACGGAATTATAGAATTATAGAAAAATCATAATTAAAACATACTCCATATTTCATCATGAAAGAAAAAAAATATGAATATATTCAGAAAAGGGCAACAGATAACACTGATAAATTGAAAATTGGATTACATAACGGCATTACATTCCATGTGTTGGATTTTTTTGTCATATTAATTCTACTATATACTGTATATATTTAATTTAATATTTTTAGAAGTTTTTCCTAAAATATTACTAATAGAAAGTAATGGACAAATATGTTACTACCTATTTAGTAACTTTTAGTGACTATAATTGTATTCAAAGTTACTATGATGTAAACTTTGAATACAACTCCAATCACGAAAAGTTACCAATTCACATTTTTGTCCATCACTTATTACTTTTACATGAGTAATAATAATGGAATTTTATCTATTTTTTATAAGATTCCTCGAACCATAAAGGAAAAAGTTATAGCTATTTACAAAAAAAATGTAATATTACATTAAAGCCATGAAGTGATATGTTCACAATCAGGGTCAACAAAAGCAAACAACAACGTTACTCATTTGAGTTGACTTGTCCAAATAAAAATGATCAAATTGTTACTGGGATGCAGGAAATGTAGTTTGCCATGGGGGTGTTTATTAGGATATTTTTAATTTGATTTAAATGATCTAGTTTGATTTGATTTGTTTGTGTACAATTAGTTTTATACGGAGTATGTATCAGGATGTAGTCAAGACACTCGAATGGTTTGGTTGGTACACATTTTATTTTAAAATAATTTTTAAGAGTAATAATTTAAAAAGTGAAATTTGAGGTGGTTCAGGATCTAGATTGCGCCAACTCCGTCCCCATTTGTGCATTTCATTGTATTCTAAATCTAACGTGATTGGGTCTCGTTTGTTCTAATCTTTTTATGTTTGGTTCATTTAAATTTGCTTTGAGACTAAAACGTATAATTAAAAGTTTAAACCATCTTTAGTGTGGTACCCAATACTCCCTCATTCAATTTTTTGAAATTGTATTCCATATGTTACTGGCAGGAAAAAAGGATCAAATGAGGTATTCTACTACTATGGAATCATCATATAAAGCAACGTACTCAATAAAGTGTTATATAAATATGTTTACTTATAAAAAACAATCAGATGAGTCCTAACAACCTGTTGACAACCTAATAATCTCGATTTTTAGTGTACATTTGAATATCTATTTAAAAAAGATATAAGTCTGACGTGGAATATTTGGCCATGATTTGCTTAATTAATTATAAGCAAAAATAACGTTATGTAAGCTAAAATCAGGATTAAGATGTTGTCAACGGGTCATTTTGACTCATTCTATTGCTTTTTATAAGTAGACGTATTTATATGACATTTTATTGAATGCATGACCTAATGTGACGATTTCTTAATAGTAGAAGGTCTTATTTAACCGTTTTCCCTATTGGCAGCGCCATAACTTGTGAATTACAATAACACATTTTACTATCCGTTCGTGATAAGAATTCTTATATATGCCAATTTGAATTTGAAAAACACAAAAAAACGGATGGGAATAGTAGTTTTGTTCCAAACATTTTTCAAATACAGATAAGAATATTAATATAACAACATGAGGGTTATAATAACAGTAATAACAATAATACTAGAAGTAGTAGTAATAAGTACGCAATAACAACATTATAAGGCGATAAAAGTAGGACCGTCTTGTACGTGGTCATTCTCTCTTTGACTAGGCAGAAGGTAATATCGCTCTTGGAGTTTTTTTGTAGTAGTATGACCCAACTGCGTTGCCCTTCTTTTGTTGTTGTGTTAGTTCTGTTCTATGACGGTTCTTTCCTGAGTCCTAGTGCTCTGGTGTGTTTTGTCTCGGGAGTTGTTTTGGTGTCCTGTCCAACTTCGCCTAATCCAGATTTCTATCTATCTTCTTTTGGGCTGCATGAAGAATGGAAGAGGCATGAAACATGTTTTTGTCTCAATCCATTCAACGTCTCTTCATATCGAAGTAAGAGGAAGAATCTAGTGTTCACTCATATATATTGCAGCAGTTCGTCCTCCTCCAGAACCACTTTCATGTCAGGAAAAGTTTTGCGCAAAAACTTTATCCCAACATTTTTGAATATGAGAAAATTGTCCAACATAGGACCAAAACTCAAGCTTTTCCCCAAAATAGCATCACATGTATGTTTTCCCCTAAATAGGACTAATCTTCCCTTTTTTACCCCTAATTCTATTTAATTAATTAATTGATCTAAATAATTGCCCCCTAGTTTCCTTGCACAAGCAAGGCAGTCCGTCGGTGGCGGGGCAGTCCGTGGTGGCGGCAGCACTGCGGCAGCGGTCGGCGGCGGATTCCGGCGGTGGCGAACTCCGGCAATCAATTTACCCAATTAATTGCCCCCTAATTCTCTTGCACAACCAAGGCAGTCCGTTGGTAGCGGGGTAATCTGGTGGTGGCGGCAGCTTGGCGGCAACGGAGAACTCTGACGGCCGGGGGGGTCCTGCTGCAGAAATCTGGCAGGTTGCCATAAAAACTCAGGAATTTTCTAGCGGTGCTCCGGCAGCTGACGGCGGCAGGTGGCGGTCCGACAATCCTAGGGCAGCAATGGTAAAGACTGTGAAGGGTGTTTTGGTTCAATCACAAATAAAACTTCTATTTATGAATGTTTAAACTAGGTGCTTCTATTTTTGAAAAAGTCATGTTTTGATCTTATTAAGGTAAATCTCCTTTTGAATATTTGTATAGGAGATTTTTTATGTGTGCAACCAGAGGCAAACAAAGTAGTCTAACTTTAATTGACAGGTACATAATAAATTAATGGTAGATTCTATGATACCCATAAGGTATCATACCTTTGTTCACATGGACAATGAGAATGTAGCAGTTGAATTATTTAAATCTAAATTAAAAATGATAAAGTGATGTGGTCTAATCAAATGAATGATAGGTACGATACCCCATTTTTTAGAAAGGTACCGGAGTTGTCACCTAAATTAATTTCGTACAAGAACTATGCTTTTTTACGTACTATCGCAAGACACCTTATAAAAGTTAAAATTGACATAAATATGTAAAAACGCCAAGGGTGATGTTAGATTGAAGTTTATCGACTCTAACAAAAACAAAAAACTCTTACCAAAGAGACTTGTATAGTGCATTATCTTATTTAAAACGTTACATCACCTTTACATTACACGTGACTAGAATAATCATATGTGTGTAAGTTTTTTTTACTAGAAAAAGTTTGTTTAATTTGTGTTTATAATATTTTCCTATATCACAATGTTTTCGTAAAATTTTGGAAGAAGCAACATATGTTTTCATCATTTGGTTGGCCTTAACTTTTGTCGTTTCATTATAATAAAAGTGATGTGGATTTTGTATTGATCTCCAGTTCTACAACGACGTGTATATGCAATTATTAAATGAGAGTTTAAGTTTAGAATTACCAAATTCAAATTCAAATCAAACATATATGGAAAAAATCTTGAACTAAAAATGTTTTAAAATTTCAAAATAAGAATCTTATATTTATATTCTCTAAATACAACAAGATTTGGAAATTATTTTAAGAGAAAATTAACCCACATATGACTAAAATTTAATGTGTTTCCCAAAATATGACTTCTATCTTTTTTCTTCCCAATATGATAGTGTTTCGTATGTATAAAACTAATATTTAATCATATTTTGGGATGTACAAAAGTAGTAGTCATATATTCTGAAATTGTCAATGTTTTAGTCATATATTAGTAAATATCCCTTATTTTAATTATTAACAACCCATTTTGAAACAAAAGGTACAAATACAAATACAGACGAAGTAAAAAATACGTGGATACAGAATCTGTAGATTAATGGAGAAACAAAGGTGGACTGTTTGT